GGTGGCCATTACAGGTTGTGCTGTATGGGGGGGGGCATTTGGGGACTTACTTCCTTGGTAACTATGTGCCAGAAAGAGTGGGAAAAAAGAGCAAAAAGCAATCTAAACAAATACTAGTTTTCCTAAACTAAGAAGCTTAACAGTACAGGGTGTAGAGAGTTTAGAAATCGTGTACTGAGAGCGCTAGTGTCAATCCCTGAATGGGTAAAATGCCAACAGGAATGTGGACATGACACCGCTTGTATTAATCCGCTAACCAATAATTGGTCAGTAGATTAAGGGGTGTAGCAAACAGCTTAACTATATAATGATTCAACGGCTGGAATCACTGATTTAGAATGAGAAAAATAATATTAGTGGACCGGTTAAGGTGGATTAGCCTAATTTATTCTTGGAAGTTAGACTTTGAAGTGACCAACTTCCTTGTTCCTCCATGTCCAGAGCAACCGCATCTAAATATACGTATAATTACAATAATAAATAAATAAAATAATAAAATAAATAAAATATTTAAAAAATAAATAAAATAAATTATATATACATATGTAATTTCATTCTAACTGTATATATAAAATACAAACAACCGCAAATATATATATATATACAGATAAATATTTATAATTACATAAATAACTACATAAGTGTACGCGTAGACTTTAAATACATATATATGTATATATATTAAAATTCTACGTGTATATTTAAGTAATATTTTAACATAATTATGTGATTTAATTAGTTAAAATTTGATTGACATGCCTGACAACCCAGGCAAAAAGTGCAGAGAATTTGAATTGCAAGCATTATATTTAACCCTGTAACTTTCTAGGACACCATAAAACCTGTACATTGGGGGTACTGTTTTAATTGGGAGCATTCGTTGAACACAAATTTTAGTGTTTGTATTACAACAATGATATTTTTAGTAAAAGTGAAGTTTTTTGCATTTTTCACACACGAACAGCACTTTTACTGACAATATTATTGTTGTAATATGTTTTACTGTTTTTAAACACTTATTTTTTAGTTCAGTGAAGTCTCCCAAGTATAACATTACCCCCCATGTACAGTTGTTATGGTGTTTTGGAAAGTTAGAGAGTCAAATATAAGGCTTGCATTTCATTTTTTTCACATTGAAATTTGCCAGATTGGTTATGTTGCCTTTTGAGACCGTATGGTAGCCCAGGAATAAGAATTACCCCCATGATGGCATACCATTTGCAAAAGTAGACAACCCAAGGTATTGCAAATGGGGTATGTCCAGTCATTTTTAGTAGCCACGTAGTCACAAACACTGGCCAAATATTTGTTTTTTGCTTTTTTTCACACAAAAACAAATATGAATGCTAACTTTGGCCAGTGCAAGGTAACATTACTAATCTGGAAAATTTCAATGTACTTTTAATATATTGTAAAATTTATGTTTTCTGTGCCTGGATATAATTGAGTTAGAACAGTTCCTGACTCAATTACCTCTCAAGCACAGGGGAGGGATTAACCTATTTTGTATGGGAGTGTCCTGGATCTGAGAGCCAATTTAATTGTGTGTATGTTTTTACTGTAGTCTACTCTCAGGTCAAGGGGGAGTGCCCCTCGCATGGGGACTGACATAAAAGGCCAGTTGTGGCTGCCAATAAACCAGTTCCAGTTTACCCTCAACACAAAGCCTCGTCTCATGGTTGTAGGGGAAAGCTATACCAGCTATAATTCCTGATCTTGGGATTGTTCTTTGAATTGCTATAGTCAATAGCTCTTGTAAGAGGTACACTGCTACACCTGCTATACTCTCTTGGAGGAGAGGTCTTCTCACTGGGAGGTGGATCCAGGAGTTTGGTCCAGGGTGAGAAGGGACGGCCAGACCCCAGCCAAGCTGCTGTGGCTAAGGGGCTACGGTGCTGATTGTGTCCGGTGCAGTGCTTATGGTACTCAAGCATTACTAGGAATCAGCAATAGGTGAGGCACCCAGTCGGGGTGCCAGGCGGTCCATCACAATGTCTTATTCAAATAGTAGAAAGCTAAGGTACAGGTTATCAATGAAGTACCTATTTCTAAAACTTACACTAATGAAGCTAATAAGATATGCACACCATCTGTAATTAATATTCCTGTCCTGCCCTCCTGTTCCCCATCCTAGGAAAAAAAAATGTATGGTGGGGAAAAAGTAACTAACCCCACCAAAGTTTTAACCTTAGTAGACAATGGGGGCGAGCTAACAGTGTTGCTGGGTATCTTGTAGGCCCCATTATTAAGAGTAACTAAGGCATTACACACATCAGTCTCAACTTGAAGTTGCCCACAGATTTATCAGTAGGATTTTGGGTTTTCAATTTCCTGACAATATCTTGGGGGTACATATATTGTTAGGGCGCAAACTAGAGATACTGTGGGGGTGTGTTCAAATTTTGGCTTTCCTCAAACCCTAATGTTCATGTGTTAGTGGAGGTGGTGAGGAAATACAAACTTGACAGCTGTGGGTATTCCCCCTCCCTGTAGTCCAACAAGGGTTGCTAGGAGGGTTGGAAGAAATCAGATTATAGTCAGGTGTAGTTTATCCTGCATTTAGCCCTTTTAACATTCCTGTGTATCATGTAAAGAAGCAGGGTGGCTTCTGGTGAATGACAATTAATTTTAGGGGCCTCGATAATGCTGTTCCACTATTGTGCGCAGTAGTCCCCTAATATTGTCTTTCATTTAATACAGCAATACAGACACAGGAGTGACATGCAGTGACTGATTTGGAAATCCATTCTTTTTTTTAATTCTCATTGCACCTAAGCCATAAAATCCCATTTGCATTCACTTAGGAAGGAAACAAGTATACCTTTGATGCCCTATCTACACTCTCCCACCACATGCCATGTCCAGTTTTCAGAAAATCAAGCCTATTCCATTTAAAGTGCCTATTCCTTCCAATGAAATATAGAGATTTTGACACAAAAGGCCCCAGTAACTGGGTGTGAAGATACCTAGACATCCATGCAGTGGTGGCCTCAACAGTAAAACTCAAGAGCAAGGTGGATTACAAGCTGGTGAATTTAAGGATTTATACCAAAAAACCTTAGAATGTGCAGGCACTCTTCTACTGGATGGTGCTGGTATTGGAGGTATTCCCCATAACAACCTCAAAATAATACAAAAAATCAATAAGTTAAATACCGCACTCAAATATGTGAATTTGTAGGAAAAGAGTTGAGAGTCAATTGATATATATGCAAAAAAAAAATAATTTATTATACAAATTATGTACATCAATTCATGGGTAATATGTGAATCACCGTAGTAATTTGATGATATCCTTATTAATTCATTGATTTAACAGACTTCATTGTATATACATGCCAGAGTATGTACAGTTATTTACAGTCTATATACACAATATAAATAGAATTCGACAGTTCATTGGTGTTCAGGTGGATCCACTGCTAAATAATTCTCTATGTCTAGAAAAATGTATATACATCACAGAGAAAAATGTGAAAAGTATAGAAAAAATTTAAAAATTTAAAAAATAATAAATAAAATAATGAAAAAAAAGGAATAATATAAAAAAGACCAATATGGAAAAAAGAAAAAAGGACAAAATAAGGGAAAAATTTATAATTGAATGTTCAGTGAATATACAGAGAAAAAAGAAAAAAGTTGGTTGGATCTCACCAATTGATTTCAATCCCAAACTTCC